AAACTTACGAAAGGCTGTTCACTCTCCTCAGCGAAAAAACAGGATGGAATCCGGAAGACATAAAAATTGATTTCGAGCAAGCAGTAATAGCTGCATCCAAGTCTGTCTTTCCAACGGTACGTGTGAGTGGTTGTAATTTCCATTTTAACCAGAGCATTTGGAGAAAAGTGCAAGACTTGGGATTGGCAATGGACTACAACAATAACGAAGAAATAAGGATGTCTGTGCGGATGTGTGCAGCTTTAGCTTACCTTCCACCGGAAGAAGTAGAGAATGGTTGGCTCGCTATACAAGAAGACGTTCCATCTACGGAAAAGCTGCAAAACTTCTTTGATTACTTCGTCCAAGAATGGCTGCAAAATCCAAATTTACATATTACAATGCGGAACTGCTTCGATTCACGCCACCGGACGAACAACTCAGTTGAAGGATGGAACCACAAACTCAACTCCATGATACATCTACATCCACTGACGTGCAAGCTGATTAAAAAGTTGAAGGAGGAAGCCCTTCATAGCGATTTTATTGCCCAAAGAGTAGAATTGAACTTAGAAGGAAAACGAAGAAAAACGAAGTATGTTGAGTTAGACAAAAGAATTGAAAGGATTCTGGATGGATTCGCGGAGAGCAAAGATTTAAAACATTGCTTACGATCGCTCGCTTATATTGCAAAAATAGAGTAATATATCAAAATTAATTTTTGAAATAAACTTCGACGACACTAATTTGGTGAAACATCTTTTAAACACGCCAGCTAGTTTGCTGCCAGTCCTAAGCCTGGATTAAGTGTGAAGGGAAGACATTTCACAGATATACATACATAGTATGTATTAAAGTTTATACTATAATTTTATTATCAATATTTTATATGAAAAGTATTAAATTTACCAACAGCACTTGATATTAAAATTTTGAGTTTGGCAACAGCGCTCCCTTGAAAAAATAAACGATTTTAACCGATCTCTTGTTGTACGCATCTTGGACAGTTACGCCCCTTGTATGCAAGCCGGACGTACGCAAGTAGGAAGACACCGTATAGAAAGTAAAGTACGCCATACGCAGTCTCAGAGGTCATAATATTTTGTAATAAGTAGCCGATTTTGTAATCATTCGTTGGAATAAAGAATTCGTTTGGGTGTGACATCTTTCTTGTTGATAGATAATCCCTAACCAGTACCCCGATTGAGCTAAACCATCGCATTTGACGCCCAACTAGTGGCTAGTTATTTGATTGAAGAAAGGGATCAGCAGAATTTGTCAGAGATCCTGAGTTCTTGTTTTCTGTATGAAAGAGCGAGAATTTAGAGTTTTATGGTTGCTGGTTGAGCTGGTTCGTAACTTGAAAGTCACTGATTTTGAGATACGAGTATCATTCCAACTATCAATTCATTTTCCATCGATTCCAAAACCTTGTATCTCGCTTGAGTGACAAAGAGTATGCGCAGCGCTGAAATCAAATATACCTCGTATCTTGCGAACGTAAGCTGTCAGATTCCAATTTTTCTGGTGTTTTTCTGTATTTATGGACAGATATTATTGAAAATCAAGGTGAGTTTTCATTCTTATTTATGAAGAGATTGTACTCAACGAGTTGTCTTGGAAGATTTTTTATTTTAAAGTTGAGATAAGCATTGAAATAGTCATTTTGAGGTTATAATTGAAAAATATCTTGACTTTGAGTTGCTATAAGCTTATGATTATGTTAACAAAGGAAAATTCCACTTTTATCACCATTTTATTACACCTATTGCTTTGACTTTATCATTCTGAATTGACCACACAATAAGAAAAAATGAGATACGATGTTTCAAAATCTTATAAACATAACTAAGAACGCTAGTTATTTTTTAGATACGCGTTGCCTTTTTATATCAATGTGATAATCATTTATAAATAACATTGAACAGAAAAAAATAAACTGTCTTCGAATAACTTCCAACATTACAGATGTCTTCAAGAAGTAAACACATGAGGCAGTTGGGTATACAAGAAAAAAATATGTATAAATCTGGCCCTTCTATCAATTTTGTTTTTTGTTACCAATCGTTCTGATTGTGATATGAAAGAGAATCGTTTTACCAAACTACATACAAATTTCGATTTATCTGAAGCTTGCTCGTAGAATACTTCATTTGAAATGGCAGTACCATCAGAAGTGGCACTTTCTTCAGAAGAGATAGTTTTGGTATCTGAAGATGAATATCAGGTTCATTTGACTGGCAAAAAAGACACTAGTAGTAGTTGTTATTCTGAACTTACACCAGTACCCAATGTAATTGATGAGGATATTACCCCAATAACATAAAATAACTCGTTATTGGATTCAGACGACTAACCTTTGGCAAGACTGATAATAAAAAGATACTTCAGTCTGACGTAAAAAGAGCTAAAAAGGGATTATCTAATCCACTTACATGGAAAATAAACAAAACCAAGCTGGAAAAATACATGAGTTATAAAAAGGAGAAAGATGGAAGAAAGAGCAAAGTTGAACGAAAAGGTGCGATTCCAAAAAATGAAATGATTCTAAGAGAAAATGGCAATGTTGCTTCATACGAGAAGAAGATAGACAACAACTATTCCTACTATTCTGGAGTGAAATGGATTGGGGACAACGTGAAACATATGTTACAGCATTGGTTACCAAATCAGGAACAAAGCAAAAAACGACTGAAAGAAACAATACGAGGAGACAAACAACGCTCTTTTACCATTTGAAATGTGATGAAAAGCTCATGCCAGTCTGCAAGAAATCATTCCTGTCCACTTTAGGTTTGGCGGGAGTGGAGCGTCCGAAATTGGGTCAAAGATAGTGATGCTGGTATACCGAAAATCATTGACAAATATCTAGCAAAGGTTGAACCAGTCAATGAGAAAAAGCGTGAAGAAATTCGGCACTTTTTTGATGAACTTCCAAAACTACCCTTTCATTACTGTAGAGCTTCTACCAGCAAGTTTAACCTTGGATTAATATTTAGATTATACTCTGAAGTTTCTGAAATTTACAAAAAAAAGAGTTGGAAGCTCTACTGGTGAAGATATTTTCGATTCGGAAATAAAGAAATTGAACATTGATGTCTATCAGCCACGGAAGGATCAATGTGATCTCTGTTTTTCGCATGAATAGGGCCAGATTAATAATGATAATCATGACAAACAGATTGAAGAAAAAAATAAGGCAAGGAAAGAGAAGGAGAGCGATGAAAAGGATGCTATTTCCAAAATCGTGAGTTTATTCGAGTTCGTTCACTCAACTATTGGAGCGAAAAAGAAGAACAGGAGAATTTATTCCCCATCCAATTACGTTCAGATAATCGAAGACTCAAGATGTCATACCAAAGCAGGTTCATACAAGGTTAAATAAGTCGATCACACATTTTTCCTAAACTTCTCTAATCCGAAGTACTCCAACTCCATACGCCCTGGAAAATGGACAGGCGACCCCTGCATCATAGATATCAGAGCACTTACGCACACAAAGACTGATGGTATTCAATATAAGTTAGACCTTGATGATAACTGGACTCCACATCCATCGCGAAAGTTGTTATTGAGTGATATTGAAACCAGCAAGAAATTATATGATAATGCCTTGCCAATATCTCGTGACACGAATAATAACTCACAAACACTCAACATACATAATTACTTATACATAGGGACTATCATAATTTTTATGATTAATTGAAACACGAATGATGTTTTTATGTTTTGTTGAAAAAGAGAAGTATAATTTATTTTCATATCATTTTTTAATTTATTACAAAATTGTTCATGAGTTAATACACATCAATTTCCATGTGAAGTTCAAATAGTTCTTATTCAATAAACACGTATCTCATTAAAACCATCAAGATCAATTTTGAAAACCTCGTATCTCAACTATTTCCGTTTTTATCAAAATGTGCATACCCAATTATTCAAGGTACCTTTGGCAATACATATCGAACCACTCATCAAAATTTGAACTGAAACAAATGATTGATTCGGATATATGAGGAATTTTCTTCATTTACTGAAATTTGTGCTTTTCTGAGATACAAGGTTTTCACAAGTGGGCCTTGCAATTTCCTATCTCAGAGGCGTTGCGGAAAATTGGCCGTCTGTAAAAGAGAGTTCTTTCACTGATTTTGTGCACTTTCAATTTGCTTTTGAAAATAGATTTTGGAATGCAGGTCAAGAGCGGGATTTGTTCCTTCAAATTAGTTATGATAAATATGACCATGGAGATTGAGCAGAGTAATTTTTGATCTTAGTAAACCAAGCAGAGTTCTTATCAGAAGAATACTTACAGGAAAGTTATTATTATAGCTTGGCAAACATTTTTCAGCCGTTATACAAAGAGGAATCATTACAAATGGTTTCATGACAGTTGATGAGAGTAGTGTATCTTGTCGGCTCTAGATCCTCCCAATTACAAGGTACTTGATCTTAGTAGACCAAGCAAAGTTCTTATCAGGAAAAATACTTACAGGAAAGTTATTATTATTGCTTGGCGAACATTTTTCAGCCGATATACAAAGAGGAATTATTACAAATGGTTTCATGACAGTTGATGAGAGTAGTGTATCTTGTCGGCTCTAGATCCTCCCAATTACAAGGTACTTGTTTTTTCAATTACGTAATTTTATTTGCTCATTACTTTATGATTGAAAGGTACAAGAAGAAGGTTTCATTCCAACTGTGATAATAAAAAAGTACTTGTTTCCGATCATTCAGCTGTGAGTCAGAAAATCTGCGAGTATCGTGTGTTTCAATTATGATCACCATCTTCATACAACCGTTATTGACTTTGAAGTCGATTGCATTTCACAATGTAGATTCTCAAAACGGTTTTGATTACATCCCTGATGTCTAAGGCTCATGATGATATTGCAATGAGAATAACTATTGGCCATATCACGTGATACTATTCATCAAATTCCATTGGTTCGTTATAATATGTGAACGAGGCAGTCCCACCATATTCTCGGTGAATGAGAGTGGGGTAAGATATAGTGTCGGCTATGGCGCAGCGTGAGTAGTCGTGTATTTTAACGCTCCTGAATATACGATCCAATCTCGTGTACAAAACAAAAGTCTGATTTGAAATAGTGCTCAACCTACTCCTTAAACTATTGCCAATCGATTGTGATAAGTGAAATCGATAAAAATGGTGTTAACACGAGATGTTACCGAAGAAATCAAATCGGCAGTAAATTCTGCAATGATGAAGTTCCTAAAAGATGAAACATTCATAAAAACCATATCAGATAGCGTGGCTGAGGCAGTCACAGCGTCGATGCAAAAAAAACTCACACTGATTGAGCAAAAAGTTACAGACCTGAATAATAAAATGGAAGGTATGACAAAGGAATACGAACAGAAAATCAATAACTTAGAATGTGTTACAAAAACATTAGTAACGGAAAGAAAAACCCTGGAGAAGAAGTTTGATAATATTGAACAAATCTCGAAGCGACAAAACCTGCGAATTTTCAACGTTAAAGAAACCAAAAACGAAAATGTTCGTGATGATCTAATTCAGTTCCTAAATTCCAAGATGTCATTGAATATAAAAAGCAGCGATATGGAACTATGTTATAGAATTGGAAGAAGAGACGAAGGAAATAGAATGAAGCCTAGAGGAATTTTCCTAACGTTGAAAAGCTACGACATGAAACAAGCCATTTATAGTAAGAAAAGGCTACTAAAAGGAACAGGGGTGGTTATTCGTGAAGATCTTACCAAATTGAGGTTGAATATTTTTTCCAGAACTATTGAAAATACATCGTTGAAAAACGTATGGACTGATGAAGGAAACATTTATGTAAATCATAACAATAAGATTATCATTTTAAAATCGGAAGATGACTTTCATAAACTTTTTGGTGATGTATAATATCAAGAACGATTGAGTAATTTCAATAATTCATCAGTTATTAATCTATTTATAAGGCAAGGTGATTTTACTTCATGTTAATAAATTATGCTTCATTTTATATTCATACTTTGCAAGGAGATGTTGATTTAATTATCAAATTATTAAATTATTATTTATTTGATGATCTGAAATATATAGAAACCGTAATTTAATTTACACTTCTTATATTATTGTACACTTGATATCATTATCATTAATATCCGATTATAAGGTAAGCAGGGAGATTGAAAACACTGTTTTTTAGGACCAACTCATTGACTTTCTTATCAACTATTCTCTTTTAGTTATTTCCTTATTTGATTTTATATAAATATTTTTTGTTATGTTAGAATTCATGAACATATTGGATGAACAGGAAGAAATAGTAACAAAGGAATTTGTAAATTTCCAGGAATTTTTCAGTGGAGAAAATAATAGGGGAAAGGGTGTCTTGAATATCATACACTTCAATATTAGGAGCCTAAACAAAAATCTTGATGAGCTACTGGTTTATATGGATGAAATAAGTAAGCATATAGATATATTGATTTTATCAGAAACATGGATTATAGATTCGGTAAGTGAATTTGTTATACCAGGGTATTCTACACATTACAACAATTCAAAAACCAATCAAAATGACGGTGTTATGGTCTACACTAAGAACCATATTGCTCCAAAGGTAGAAATTTGTAGTTTCACTGAAACAAAGCTACTTAGATTAACAATGACAATGAATAATATTGAAATCGGTTTGACAGCCTCATACAAATTGCCCTCAATTGATACACAAACATATCTAGATGACTTGAAATCGTATATATCCAATCTAAAAAAGACTCCGTTTGAAATCTTTGTCGGTGACATAAATATCAACTTGATGGATCATCAGTCAAAACATACTAATGATTATCTCAATATTTTAGCAGAACAGGGTTATTTCTCACACATCAATAAGCCAACTCGGGTCACTCAAGTATCCGAAAGTATTCTGGATCACATATTTCTTAGAGTGCTGAAAAAAAATCGACACCTACACATTAGTCCGGTAATCTTTCAAACAGATCTTACGGATCATTACTCGGTTTTTCTAGGCATTTCTGATGAACGACCAGATAATGAAAGGAATACAACAGAGATAAAGACTCAAACGAATATAAATTTCAAAAAATTAAATGCAATTCTAGGAGAAGAAAACTGGGAAGGGGTACTGAATACTACGGACCCACAAACGTGTTACGATGAATTTATCAACAAATTCAAATCACATTTGAATATAGCATCATATAACTTGAAAATCCGTCATAAAAATATGCTAAAAATTAAACCTTGGATAACTAACGGTTTGATTATTTCTATAAGAAATAGGGACAACCTGAAAAAAGAATTAATTCATAATTTTTCTTGTCAAAAAGAGGCCGAGTACAAGGCATACAGAAATAAGGTAAATAGATTGATAAAACAAACGAAAATGCATTACTATCAAAATAAATTCAACACAGTGAAAAATAATTGTAAAAAAACTTGGGAACTAATTAACGATTTAACCAACAAGGACTCCAAAAAAAAAAGCCTTGGGAATATCAATCTCAAAAATGAGGCAGGTGAACTTATTTCAGAAAACAAAGAAAAAACTAATTTACTAAATGAATACTTCATAAATATAGGTACTGAAATGTCAAAAAAAATCAATAAAATCGAAAACTTACCAGCACAATTTCTCCAAGACAAGTCAACATTGTCAACAATGTTCCTTCAATCAGTTACCCAAACTGAAATAATCAATATTATATCTGAAATGAAAACCAATTGTTCTCCAGGTCCCGACAAGATTTGCACAAAAATTATAAAAAATATTCATATCCACATTGTGCCACCGTTAGTTCACATAATCAATAACGTTTATAAAAGTGGTAAAATACCATCACAATGGAAGGAATCCACTGTCACCCCCATATATAAGTCTGGTGATCGTAGTAACGTTGGAAATTATAGACCAATAGCTGTAATCAATAATTTCTCAAAAATCTTCGAGCAAACTTTGAAAAGAAGAATTAATAAGTATTTGCATGAAAAAAATATCTTGACAGATAGACAATTCGGATTCATCAATAATTCAAATACAGAACGAGCTGTGTTAGATTTTCTTGAAAAAACGGGCAGTGCCTTGGATAGATCAGAAAAATGCCTCGCAGTTTTTCTTGATCTTGCCAAGGCGTTTGATACCGTTGACCATGACAAGTTATTGGATAAGTTATATACGTGCGGCATTAGAGGACCCACACTGATATTGTTGAAGGATTATTTAACAAACAGGGTACAAAGAGTGAAAATAGAAAACCAACTGAGTGAACCAATGACGGTTAGAATAGGTGTTCCCCAAGGTACTGTACTAGGACCAATCCTCTTCCTCATTTATATAAATAGTATTAGCTCGATTAATAATTTCAAAGGCCACATCATATCATATGCTGATGATACGGCACTGGTTTTCAAAGGTACAACTTGGAATGAGGTAATTACTGAATCGGAGAGAGGTCTAAAACTCATTCAGGTATGGCTCAACTACAATCTCTTGAGTCTAAATATAACGAAAACTAAATTTGTAACCTTCTCTTTATTACAAAATGAACAACCCGAAATACCAACTATTTTCATACATCAAAACAGCTGTGATAACTCTAACAATTGCAAATGTCCTGTCATAGAAAAGACCAAATCTATAAAATATCTTGGGGTAGTTGTAGACCAGTATCTAAGATGGGATGACCATGCCACGTACGTAGCAAAACGGATCAGACAGTTGATCAGAAAAATGTATCTACTTCGTGATATTTTGGATAAGAAGAATCTAAGACTAGTATACAATTCACTCATCGAATCTGTCCTGAGATACTGTATTGCAGCTTGGGGTGGCCTGTTCAATAATTCTATGAACTTTCTACAAACAACACAAAACACAATTCTGAAAATAATTTTGAAAAAATCTAGACTATTTGCAACCAAAGATCTATACAGAGAAACTGGAATTTTGAAAACTAGAGAACTTTACATTTACCACTGCCTGATTTGGATTTTCACAAACAAACACAAATTCGAACCTAGTAACGTAATGAAGGAAACAAGATCTGTCATGAAAGCTTCAATCAAAATACCCATTTTCAAAAAGAGTCACACTCAAAGAGTAATTTTCTATTACGGTCCCAAGTTATTCAACCTATTGCCTACAAGTATCAAGATAATTACTAAACTTCCGCATTTCAAGAAAGAAATAAAAAAATTCATTTCAGATAAACCAGAGATTTCAGACATTTTCAATTGATCTTACAGTCGCTCTCCTTTTCTCATTTCTTCTCACATATTATTTCCTATTTCTCTTCCTGTTCTATGGTATTACTATTGTATTTATATTATATTAGGAAAATATATTAGTACAAGTTCATAATTTTCTCCACGATGGTTGGAACAGAGCACAACACAAGCATCCTGAATGCTTAGGTGTATCTGTTCCTTCCTGACTGGTTTTCCAAAGAATAAGTTATCCACAAATTGTTACTTGTAACTGTTGCTATTGCTGAATAAATTGAATTGAATTGAACTCCCTCTCTTCCTGAATTGGTATAAGAGTGCGAATCAACGAAGCTGATAATATGTGGTATTTCTTCATCATTGTAATCGAGTCGTACTCTATTCGTATAGTAGAAATCAACATCCTCACACCTCGTGTTATCTGAATGCAGGAAAAATTATTTAACGATTTTTTTTTACTTTTACTCAGGAAACTTCAACTTCAACGATATCATCATTAACTTCAACTTCACCGGTATCATCATTAACCGTTTACTAAGCATACCGCAAACCGTAGCGTTTAATTTTCCACACTTTAGATTATTATAGTTCTACATTTTATTACAGACATTTCCAGATAATTTACAATGAAAGTAAAATTATTTGTGTGAGTATTCAATTAATTTGATCTATCAGAATATTCGACTACAGTAATGAAATCAAGTTAATTTTGAATATATTTCTGGTGTCTATTTTCTCAACAAATCATGAAATACCAGATTTGAACATATCAACCTAGGCAACTACGCATTCATTGTTCGTGTATAGTTGGTTGCCTACCCAGCAGAAATCAAAATCAACCTAGTGTGTTGGAAATATAAAAACTCAACAATAATAATCATCACGTTTAATTATAAATCTAGTTAAAACCTTTAAAAAGAATAAAGGAATGAATCACTCATCTGAATTAGCGTAAAGTGAACAATCTATTTCTTTCAATATTCTTCTGGATTCAACTGATATGTATTCCCTTTGGTTTCGTTTGTTCTTCATTTAAGAAGCACATAGACGCTGGAAAATCACTATTGGAATTCGTTGAGTACGTGTTTCAAGCGATTAATTTTACTTGATTTTTGATTTGATTTTCCTGGAAATAAACAAATGAAATAAGCAACGTACAGTTAATAAATAAATAAGAAGGCACTACTCACCTTCCATCCATACCTTTTTAGAGACTGGTGAAGAAACTCACTTGGTCATAATGTTGATGAAATATCTTCTTGAATTTTCCAATCTATTTTCCACTATGATTTTGGTGTTTTCGATTCCAAATTATTATCGTCCAGGAATTCTCTTATCAGTCTTATTGTGTCGAACTGTCGAAGTTGTCAACGAAGTCAAAGATGACTCCACCCATTTCGTCCGATTTTGAAAATCAGACGTTGCCACACTGCTACCTAAGAAATCCTGAAGAATCATCAAGTTTGGTACAATTTAGTGTAGATAGAGTTGAAATAGAATAAAAACGAGCTTTCTTGATTGGCTAGTTTACTGTTTCGATCAATGGAACAGTCCTAGTTATTGCACTTTCAAGCACTGGATTTTTTTTGGTGGGGACCAAAAGAACCGACCACATGGAACCTTCTAGAATGTTCCTGGAATGATGACAGGGTTTCCGTTCGTTTCCGGAAAGGACCATGAAAGTCTTTGGAAAGCCGGTCGCTGATGACTTGTAGCCTCATAAGTCAAAGTGCTCACATCACGAGTGATCGTGATTTTTTTGTTGAATTTAGTGAC